TTTTGTATCTGAACAATTTTGGGAAAGTATCTTTTTCATATTATTGATGCTTTTTTTTGGGTTCAATGGTCTTTGCTTTTTTCAATCGGTAGTTTTGTTTGTAATTTATTAACTGTCATACAGTTTCTTCTTTTTTTCAAATTTAAATTATATCTTTTCAATTTTCGTTCAAAACGTTTCAGTTTTGTTTTTTTTATTTAATTATTTTATTTTACTTTTATTTTCCCCGTGAGTGGGATGTTCATGTCTACTTTTTGGAGTTATTTGGGAAGTGTATATAGGCAAAAGCAGCTTTGCAAAATCTGTTTAATTAATGGGCAGTTATAAATTTTTCCCGACAGATTTAGATTAAGTTAACGAAATCAGACGGCTATGAACGATACAATCTTCTATATATATAATTATTTTTAAAATAGTAATTATTTCTCGTCAAAAAAATCTGATTTACTATATCTAGAAATAAATCAATCAAAATATATAATAATATAAAGAAGTTGTTGGAAAAAATACAAAAATAATAGCGTTAACTTAAAAAATAAAGTGTTGACTTACTATTAGTAGAAAATAGAAATTTTGGAAAAAAAATACATGTGAATCTTTAGGAATCTATATATCTATATATAAAAAGAATTAACATATACTAAAAATAGTAGCAAAAATTTAGGAAACATTTAATACATGCTATTTTTGGAAATGTTTTATACTATATGCATTAATTGATTCTATTTACATGTTCTCAAATAAGATCAATAATTACTTAAATAAAATTAATATCTACAGTATTTTTATTTGTATTTATTATAATAAATTACAAGATTGATTTTCGTAATTCATGTTGATAATATTTTGGTCAAGACAAATATTATTTCATTAATATTTTTAATACTTTCATTGATATACATTATAATGAATTACAAGATTGATTTATGTGATCCATGTTGATAATATTTTGGTCAAGATAATATTACACCATATTTTAACCTCTAACCATAATATTAGTTTTTTTTTTACAAATATTCACTTTTTATCCAAAAATATTTATGAAAAATCGTAACAAATTAGGTAAAAAAAATTTCTCAAGTAATCAGACAAAATCAAATTGGTGAATTGATATTTGTCAATATATTTGTTTCTTAAGCTTTATTTTGTTAAATATAAAAAATAAATCGTTCTTCAAATTAATATAATTTACCATTTAAGAGATATTGATCAGATACAATAAATAGTTTTACTAATAGTAAAAATTTTAATTTTGACACATATTAACTATTGTTTAGCATTTATTTGTATATCATTGTCACTCATGACTATATTTTTTCATTTTTTATTTTGATTTATTTCTATAAATAAATTCTTGTAATATATATTTTCATTGTTGAGTATGCTAAATAAACCATAAATCCTTCTAATGCGAACTAGAAAAATCTGATCATATAAGGGATCGAGTTTTTAGGATTTTCTAAATCAAATTTTTTTAATTAGTATATAAAATTAAATTCTAAAAAAACATGTGTATATTTTTTAAAATATTTATACATTATTTAATATTATATTTATTTACATATTTTAAATTGATTACATAAATAAATAATGTAAACGTGTATTAAATATTTGTCATTACATAAAATAAAAATATAAGGAAGACGTACAACTTCTATAACTTTATAAATAATAATGACATTATATGACATAAAGTGTATAATAAAATAATAATTAAGTATTATATTGTGAACAATAATGAGTAAAATTGTTATTCTCTCTTGTATCAAGGAATAAATATATATATTAAAATCAAATTAAATTAGGATAAATGTGTCAGTGAATAATATATTAATTATATTAATATTTTGACTAAAAAAATAATGTTGATTAAAAGAGGTGCAAAATATATTATAACCTTATTGTTTTATTATACTTAAGCTGATTAAAAGAGATGAAAAATAAATGATAATCCTATTGCTTTATATACTTAAACGGACAAAGCTTGTGAAATAACACATTTAATATTTTCATCACGTGCATCGCACGAGGTACATACTGACACATATATCCCACACACATTTTCCTTTTCCCCTTCTCTCTTTCCTTATCCCTTTTCTTCTTCCATTTTATCTCTTTTTCGTTTCTTCGTCTGCAGACTACTTTTTTTCCCTTCTCTCTTAAATTTTCTTCTTCTTCATTCTTCTTCTTATTTTCTTTCTTCTTCTTATTTCTTTCATTCCCAGACAACAATTTTTTTCTTCAATTTTTTTCTAATCAAATGCACAAACACAAATTTCTCAATACTTCCCAATTAAATTAATTAGCCCCCAAATCAAATAATGAAAAATACGATTGAACTGCCAATTTCAATCGGTCAAAGGCCGACAACCAACGCATCGGCGACTTGGGTATGTCGCACTGGACAAGGTCCCGCGACGGTGTGGTTCAGTCAAGCCCTGGAGCTGCCTGCGATTTTGTTTTTTTTTTTTTTATTATGTACCTACAAAATTGAAAAATATTGACCAAATAGCAACGCTATTGCGTAAATAGCGTAGGAAAATGCAAGAAAAGCGTGCCACGTCACCAAAGCGTGCGCATTTGAGGAACTACGCAAATTTCTAAACGCAACAGAGCGTTTTTGGGCAAAAGTGCGCTATTGCGCGCTATGTAGCGCGCAAAATCTCGCTTTTTAAAACACTGATATAGTATAAAACATTTCTAAAAATAGCATGCATTAAATGTTTCCTAAATTTTTGCTACTATTTTTAATAAATGTTAATTCTTTTTATATATATATAGATTTAGAGATTCTTACACCAAAAATTTAAAATTTTGAATTGAGAAATCCCACTATTACAATTTTTTTCATTCAAATTAATGTTTCAAATCAAACAAAAATTGTTCCGACAATAATGGATGTTATATTAAATATTGATCAACTTCAATCCTCCATAAATTATCTATATTTATGAATTTTTATAAATATATTGATTTGCATTTCTTAAGTAATAATAAATTACATTATTTTAGAACCTATCCTAACTTATTTTCTAATTTTGGTGGTTTATATTCTTTAATTAAAATAATATTTGACTTATTTGATTGAAATAACTTATTTTTTTTCAGGAGACAAATTTAAGTGAGATATTTTAAAAAAAATAGAGATTCTTCATGTAACAAATTTAGAGATTCTTATGCCAAAATTTAATTCATTTCATCAATATGAGTCCCATTTTTATTGGTAACATTTGGAGATTCTTATGCCAAAAAATGGGATTTTGAATTGAGATATCCCAACAATTACATTTTTTCATACAAATTAATGTTTCAAATAAAACAAAAAAATTGTTCCAAGAATAACGGATGTTATATTAAACATAGATAAACTTCAATCCTCCATAAATTATTTATATTTATAAATTTTGTTTGTAAATATATTGATTTGTTTTTCTTAAATAATCCCCCTCCCCCTATATATTAATACAGAACACGCTGAGCCTACGTGACTGCTTCTGGTGCTTCAGAATCATATGTGGCAAAATTACATTCTTCATTATTAGGCTTGGGTAAATTTAATTTAATTCCAAACCAAAAATAATTAGGTTCGGATTACCATAAATATGTTGATTATTTATGGTCATGTTACATGTATTAATTGTATTTTAATATCATTCCTTATTATAACTATTGAATTGTATATATAATTTAAAAGTGAATAACTTTTGTATTTCTTATTTGTTTTACATATGTAATATATCAAATTAATCTTCTTTTGATGAGTTTCGATTTAACATCCATATTGTATGTATAAAAAAAATTATATTTATCTTTATAACAATAATAAAATTATAATAAAATTATTTTTAATATTAATTAAAAAAATAAAATTATTTATCAACTAATATATTTATATTTTAAGTAGTTATATGATATAAGTTATAAAAACTAATATAATATAACACATATAAGTCATAAGTAACACATATCATTCTAAAATATATAGTATTATATTTTTTTTTTGGTAAAAAAGTAAACTAAATTTAATATAGTTTTCTCATTAATTTTAAAATTTAAGAATAATTTTTTAACAAGTACCCGTGTAATACACGGGTGTTGTACTAATAATAAATTACATTGTTTTAGGAACTAAATCCAAACGTCTTTTCCACTTTTTTGGTCGTTTATATTCTTTAGTTGAAATAATATATGACTTATTTGATTGAAACAACTTATTTCTTTAGGAAACAAATTTAACTAAGACATCCAAAAAAAATTGGAGATTCTTAAAGTATCAAATTTGGAGATTGTTATGGAACTGAAAATGTACAAAGCCATTCACTCCAACAACATGCAATCAACCGTATAAAACTTTAAATAAAACATCAACGTCATTTAGAAACACATAACCTAAACAAGAATAACCACGACACCGTTTAACACAAGAATAATGCTACTTGTACCCCTTGGTGTACCACAAGAATTGATAGCATATATGAGCTGCATGCAAACGTGCATGACCCACATGCAAGCCACACACCACAAGATGATAAGAGAAACCGGCCATGTCATCATAAAGAGAAATATGAGCTAGATGAAGACCAAAAGAAAACCAGTCAAAGCAAAAGAAGAAAGCATGAAGATTAAGATGATGGAGAGTGAAGGAGAACCGTAGGATCATGAGCTTAGAACATATAAATACATTGCCTCTTATGGAACCCTAGGGATATGTAACAATGAAAAGCAAGTGTACTCTTATTGATGAAAATGGATGATCATACTTAGAGCATGTTTCTTCTCATCCTTTCATTTCATTTTTCAGATCCATTTCTATGTTTCCTCACATGGTATCAAGAGCATTAATGAATCATTGGGACCTGTAACTCACTCGAGATTCACATCCAGATCTCCATCTTTCATATTTTTTTTTTCTCTTTAAAAACACCATAGAGCTCAGTCTTCTCAGATCTGCAACATCACCTCATATCAGCTACCATGGCATCTCAAACATCCTCAGACAGCACACCCAACCCCATAGCTTCTAGCACTACATCATTCATTCAACCACAACACCAGCTAATATCCATCAAACTCACAGACACAAACTACCTACTTTGGAAACAGCAAACCTACAGTGCCATAATAGGTTATGGTCTTGAAAACTTCATTGCTGCTGATTCACATCCACCAGAGAGGTTCATATCCACTGATGGCACAACACCACCCACTCTCAACCCAGCATATGCAACATGGCTAAGGCAAGATCAGCTGCTTCTATCTTGGCTTTTATCCTCCTTGAGTGAAAATCTCCTCATAATGATGGTTGGCAAGAACACATCAAAGGATGTGTGGCTCTCCTTAGAGGCAAACTTCTCTGGTCTCTCCAAGGCACGACTTATGCACCACAAGCTCCAGCTTCAAACCCTCAAAAAGGGTCCCAGCTCAATGAGGGAGTTTCTAGGCAAGGTGAAGGCATGTTGTGATGCCCTTGGCATAGCAGGTGAACCTGTTTCTGATCAAAATCACATTCTTTATATCCTAGCTGGCCTAGGAAGTGAATACAACCCAGCTGTGGTAGCAGTGACATCTAGAGTGGAACCTTACTCCCTCAATGAGGTGTATGCTATGCTTCTCAGCCTCGAGTCAAGGCTAGACATTGGAGCTCAAAGCATAGTCAACCCAGATGGCTCACTGCCAAGTGTTAACCTCTCATCCACCAATCCCACTGCTCAGAAGATTTCACCACCTTTTCCTACCATCAACACTCAAAGGGGCTCATATTCTCAGAGAGGCAGAGGCCGTTCTAACAACTATAGAGGTCGTGGGGGTCGAGGCTACAGAAATAACAACAACAACAGACCTTCTTGCCAACTCTGTGGTCTCAACAACCATACAGCTGAGAGGTGCTTTCATAGATATGACTCAACCTACCCTGCACCAACAACTATGCAGGCTCAAACTGCTCAGACTCACACTCTCCATCAACCACTGAACTCAGTGCCATCACACCTCAATGCACTGGTCACCTCTCCTGACTCAAGCCAAGACTCCCTGTGGTTTGCTGACTCAGGTGCATCCAACCATGTCACTAATGAACTCTCCAACTTGAACATTGCTTCAGAATATCAAGGACACAACAGGCTTCATGTTGGTAATGGCTCAGGTTTGTCCATCTCACATATTGGCAATTTTAAGTTCAGTACACCCTCACACCCCACTAGACAATTTCTTCTCAAAAACTTACTCCATGTACCTCATATCACCAAAAACTTACTCAGTGTCTCTCAATTTGCACATGATAACTCAGTTTACTTTGAATTCTTTCCTACCATTTGCTTTGTAAAGGATCAGGACACTCACCAAGTACTTCTTCAAGGTTCACTTAAAGGAGGACTTTACAGCTTTGATATCAACTGTTCCACCACTACTCCAAATCAGCCCAAGAAGCTATCTAATACTCCTTTACTTTCTGCAAATGTTGCTACTTTGAGTAAGAAAAATGACTTAGCTCTATGGCACTCTAGACTTGGACATGCTGCTCTTGATGTTGTGTCTAAAGTTATGAGGACATGTAATCTTTCAGTTTCCATGAATGATAAATTTATTTGTTGTTCTTGTCAACAAGCTAAAAGTCATTCCTTACCTTATTCTAATTCTGATACTATATATTCTTGTCCTCTGGAGCTTGTTCACACTGATGTCTGGGGACCCTCACCCATCAAATCAGTTAATGGTTCTCAATACTATGTGTGTTTTGTTGATCACTACACCAAGTTCACTTGGATCTACTTCCTTAAACTTAAATCAGAGGTCAAAGAGGCCTTTTTGCACTTCAAAAACCTTGCTGAAAATCAATTAAATCATAAGATCAAAGCCATACAAAGTGACTGGGGTGGAGAGTTTAGAGCTCTCACCAATATATTCACAGAATCAGGCATTAACCACAAACTTTCCTGTCCATATACCCCAGCCCAAAATGGTGTTGCAGAAAGGAGACATAGAACTATTGTAGAAATGGGCTTGGCTCTCTTGTACCACTCACATGTCCCTTTAACATTCTGGGATGATGCCTTTAGTTCAGCCATATACATCCTCAACAGACTCCCAGTTAAATCTCTTTACTTCTCCTCACCTCTTGAAAACCTTTATGGTCATAAACCTAACTACAACACATTCAAAGTGTTTGGATGTCTCTGCTATCCTAATCTAAGGCCATACAATAAACACAAGCTCCAACCCAGATCCCTACCCTCCACCTTCATTGGGTTTAGCTCTAAACACAAAGGTTACAAAGTTCTTCTACCCTCAGGCAAGGTGATTGTGTCCAGAGATGTAATATTTGATGAGACACAATTTCCTTTCTCAAAAACCAACACACATCATCCCAACAGTGCTTCACTTGAATCCTTTTTGCATCAACCACCACCAATTGTTCATATACCTCCTAAACCACCAAACATAAATCCTAATCCCTCAGACACTCAACCATCTCCTCATAACTCCCCTCACACCACTCAATCAGCCTCTCATACATCAGCCACTACTCCTAATAATCCTCCCACACCACAATCCTCCACTAATAACACTCAACACTCTCACTCCACCATACCACTTTATGTTGAATTGCCAATTGTGGGGGACAACTTGTCTCAGTCCACTGTACCTGTTAATGCACCACAACCTCTACATCACATGATCACCAGGTCTAAAACAGGTTCACTCAAACCAAGACTGTTTACTGCCCAACTGGATGTCACTGAACCTGCAACATACAAAGAGGCTCTCAACCACAAAGCATGGAAGACAGACATGATATCAGAATACCAGGCTCTCCTTCACAACAATACCTGGTCTCTTGTGGATCCTCCTCCCTCAAGGTCAGTGATAGGTTGCAAATGGCTTTTCAAAGTCAAGAGACATGCTGATGGTACTATTGCCAGACACAAGGCAAGGCTGGTTGCAAAAGGATATAGCCAAACAGCAGGCATTGATTTCTATGAAACCTTCAGTCCAGTGGTTAAACCCACAACAATTAGAACTATTCTTTCACTGGCACTGTCTTATGGCTGGTGTATCAAACATCTGGACTTCAACAATGCTTTTCTACATGGGGACATTCATGAGGAACTTTACATGACACAACCTCCTGGATTTGAAGACAGTCAGAATCCACATCTTGTGTGCAAATTACACAAGTCCATCTATGGACTTAGACAAGCACCAAGGGCATGGTTTACTAAACTCAAACAATCTCTCCTTTCTCTTGGGTTTCAGAACTCTAAGGCAGACTGCTCTCTCTACATCAAGAGGACACCTAGTTCCTGCACATGGCTTCTTGTCTATGTAGATGACATCCTCATAACAGGATCTAATGTGGCTGCCATCTCCACTGTCATTGGCACACTAAGGAAAGAGTTCTCCTTAAAGGATCTTGGCCAAATTCACCACTTTCTTGGAATTGAGATCAACCACACCAACTCTGGCCTATACCTTACTCAATCCAAGTATGTCAAGGACATACTCCACAAAACAAAAATGTCAGATGCCAAACCTCTACCTACACCAATGATCTCATCTGCTTCTCTCACCAAAAATCAAGGCAGCCCTATGTCAGATCCTACACTCTATAGGAGTGTGGTTGGTTCTCTCCAATATGCTTGTATCACAAGACCAGATATCTCCTATAGTGTAAACAAGGTTTGTCAGTTCATGCAATGTCCTATGGACACACATTGGAAAGCTGTGAAAAGAATATTGAGATACCTTGCAGGCACTATCAACTTTGGACTGAATTACACAAAGAACACTAGTACTCACATTACTGGATTCTCAGACTCTGACTGGGCCAATGATCTTGATGACAGGAGATCTACCTCTGGAATTTGTATATACATTGGCAAGAACCCTATATCTTGGTGTTCAAAGAAACAGTCCTCCATATCCAGATCAAGTACTGAGGCCGAATATCGAAGTTTAGCTCAAGCATCAGCTGAAGTGATGTGGATAACTTCCCTTCTCAAAGAACTAGCAGTGTCATGCTCTCAAGTCCCCACAGTGTGGGTTGATAACCTCAGCACTATCTCCCTGTCATCTAATCCAGTCCTTCACGCTCGTACAAAGCATATTAAAATAGATATTCACTTTGTGAGAGAACTGGTGGCAAAAGGAAACATTAAAGTTCAGCATGTGCCCTCCTTTGATCAGGTTGGTGATGTCCTCACTAAACCTTTGTCCTTTCAAGCCTTCTCTCGGTTCAGAACACTACTTCAAGTCTTACCTGACCCATCCATCGGCTTGAGGGGGGATGATAGCATATATGAGCTGCATGCAAACGAGCATGACCCACATGCAAGCCACACACCACAAGATGACAAGAGAAACCGGCCATGTCATCATAAAGAGAAATATGAGCTAGATGAAGACCAAAAGAAAACCAGTCAAAGCAAAAGAAGAAAGCATGAAGATTAAGATGATGGAGAGTGAAGGAGAACCGTAGGATCATGAGCTTAGAACATATAAATACATTGCCTCTTATGGAACCCTAGGGATATGTAACAATGAAAAGCAAGTGTACTCTTATTGATGAAAATGGATGATCATACTTAGAGCATGTTTCTTCTCATCCTTTCATTTCATTTTTCAGATCCATTTCTATGTTTCCTCACAAGAATAATGCTACTTAACACCATATTTTTTTTTGTTAAAAAAAACAATGAGTAAATTACTAAACAAAAAAACCAGAGAGTAGAAACCATAAGATCAAATCATGCAGGACTTGGGAAGAACCAAGTAGGTGCTGGGAAAATCTTGCTCATGTTCTTGACATCAGATGGATAATAGCACGGCAATACAGTCTTGTTTTCATACTTGAAAATTGTCAATTATGTATTGGAGAATAATGACAACCGGCTCAAGCTCATTTGAAGCTGAGCTGAGCTCATTTGAAGCTCGATTGATTAACGAGTCAGGCTCATTAAGGCTCGAAAATATAATTTTTATATAATTTTTTATAGTTCGACACGTTAAAACTCGAGATGTCGGTTCCTTAAGGTTCGAGCTCGAGACCTTAACGAGTCGAGCTCGGGCTCGAATTTTTACTTGCCTAGCTCGGCTCGACTCGGCTCACTTACCGCTATAGCTAGGGGCGGAGCAAGGATTCAAAATGTTCCCGAGCTAAAGTCACTCTGGTCACCCGGACTGAACCTGTAGAATTGTAGAACCTTCAGAAACCATCTGAGCTGAAGCTCGGATATAAATACATATAGCTCTGCCCCTGGCTATCTATAGTAATGTCCCTTTCTACGTAAAAGAGAGAGATACTTGAGGATTGCGTGAAAGCAAATTTTCAGACGGTTTCTCTTGTGATGTGAACAAAAGAAGCAAGTTGATTGAATATGTTTGTACATTAGTTTTGCTATGAAGCTAGGGATGTAAATAGGTCGGGTTGGGTACGGGTTTTGGAAAATCCAAACCCGACCCGCATATAATTTACACTACACAAACTCGACCCGTTACCCAGCTAGTGATTTTTGGGTTTGGGTTGGGTTTTACCCGGCAGGTTAGTGGTTTTCGTCGGGTAAATGGGTAACCCCAGTCTTAAATTCCCAACCCATCTCATTTCATATAAAAAATAAAATGAAATAATTTCACAATTAATTATAATGTAAGAAATAATATATTAATTAAGTTTGACAATAAAAAACTATAAAAAAATATATTATTTTTGAAATAAGTAATGAGATATGATTATTTATTTTTTATAGTCTATGTAATATTATAATATTTAAAATAAATATTTTTGTTATACAATTAACAAAAAATGATAATAAAATTATAAAAAATAAACTAAGTTTAACCATTAATTAAATTATAATAGATAATCTAATTTTTAAAAATAACACATGACTACTTTATATTTATTATAAGTTATATACATATATATATATATGTATATGTATGTATGTATATATAATTCAATGGTTGCGGGTAAACTGGTAGGGTAATCGGGTCGGATAATGAGTTTGCCTACTATACCCGCACCCGACCCGATCCAGCGTTCGGGTAGCATAATTCTACCCTAACCCGACCCGAAACCCAATCATCTCGGTTTTACCCAACCCAAAAATGCGGGTAACCCGCGGGTAACCCGACCTTATGGGTTTTATTGACATCCCTATATGAAGCCAACAATTGGCTCCATAGTAGAGTCAACATTTTATATACAACAAATAAATCATACCACATTATCTGACTACTTAAATAACACTAATAATTTTATT